GATGGATGGATGGATGGATGGATGGATGGATGGATGGATGGATGGATGGATGGATGGATGGATGGGTATATTTGTTTAAAGCAGTGATTTTGGATGTATGACCTCTGTTGAACTGTGTTAGTTCTGTGCACTGCAAGCTTTCCATGCACCAACATCCCCATACATGCCACTTTCCACCCAAGTGATATACTTACATATAGCTTAAATGGTGCCCCAGTGTGTTAACTCCAACACTCTGCCTCTCTACCTCAAATAATCTCTCTCACTGCCATAATCCATTAAGGAGCCTGCCACATCAGCAAAGTCCTCCAGGACCAGGCTACTGGAATCCTCACCAGATGGCAGTTCTGGGTCTGAAGCCCAGGGATGGTGCTGATATTGCTCATGATCCRAGGCCTTTGGTACATTCGGGGATGTTGTTCTTGGTCCCTGCAGAATGGGCTTGGGAGGCTGAGACTGGCCAGGATTGGACACATGGCAGGCCAGCACAGGGTCTTGTATATGATGATCCTTAGTGATGCCGCCATCACTGCCGCTGCCGCCTTCACTGCCCTGTGAGGAGGGGGCCAGCACGTGGTAGAGGCTTGGCAGACGGATGTCCAGCAACACGCCGCTCTTTATGTAGAGCTTGTTGTTGAGGTTGTAGAGCTTCTCTGCGATGTCATATCCCAGCATGACAGAGAAGAGACGGGAGACATAGCTGTCTTTTGATATCAGCATGTAGAGGCGTCGGCGACGCCATGAGACGTAACGTGAGTCTTCATCTGCTGTCAGAGTCACCTGGACAAGATGAAAAACACTTTTCACTGCAATCATTYGWGAAATATTTGTTGGAGYGTTTGATCRTTTGTTGTCTAGACTYGTTTTTACATTACAAATACATCAAATAACTGTGCACCCTAAARGAGCTGCTCACTCTCATGATGTGGGAAAAGGTTATAAAACTGTTTAAAAGAGGTTTTAATGTGTTTAAACAATACTCATAAGGCTCAAATATATATTCTGCATAGAATGATTTGAGAAAAAATACCTTCATCTTGACTAATTTATCACTCCAAAGAAAAAKCATGTGTTAGTTTAAGGTCACATTGACACCCAGGTTATTTTCTAAACAACTAATGGCCTCTTTAACATTGTTTAATGTCATCTGTCAGGAGGATACTCAGCTGCAAAAGTTTGCATGGCAGAGCTGCAGGGAGAAAACCTCTGATCTCAACAAAGAACTTATGTACCGTATTTATTCGTGTATAATACGATCTCATGTATAATACGCCCCCCCCCCTTTTTTAGCTTAAAAAACATAAAAAAT